GCTGTCTAGTTCTCTTTTTCGTCCTGCATTTATTGTGCCCCCCTCAGAAAATAACTGACCCCCCAGTGGCCCCCCCAGTTAAATTGGTCTAGAACCGCCACTGGTCCAAAGTGAGAGCAGAGCAGGGTAAAGCAGAGTAGTGAACCTTGCATAGTGTGTTACGGAAATCTCAGACCTAGTCAATACTGTGGAGATATACAATTAGAATGATCAATCAATAAACTGGTGAAACAAACAGAGTTGTCTTTCTGGTTCTTTATTCGAAGCGCTTCAAAGGTACAAGTCTCACAGAGTACAGAGTATTCTGCAAGAGTGCACACAGAGGAAAGGATGTATGTAGGTTTTATAGGATCTTGACAGTTCAAAGACACTTCGTCACCTGTCACTGAGGGGCCATGGAAGGAGAGATAAGCTTTCCAGAGGAACAGAAACTGTCAATCACTAATATAGAAAAGCAGGAACTCGTTAAGCAGATGGATGTGAGGAAACTTGCTAACGACAGATGGAAGAGACAAGAAATCAGGAATGATTGATTGTAGAACAGGGAACATAACACAGGAACTTGTCCAGTACCCTGTGCTTGACACCCAGACACTCATGAGGACCTTTTTCACGACCTTTAAAAGTCAATAAGGCAGACAAAGGGCATGAACTGAAATACATCACCCAGACCTTACTCCTAAGTCTAACAAAGGTTATGAGCTAAAATACATCCTTATGGAAACTATTGCATTTGGTTTTACCATATAAGGTAAGGTAATATAAAATGTGCCACTACAAGTGCTGAGAGTATCACAAGTTCCCCTGCACTTCTTCAAATCATGATGTCACCTGATGAAGGTGCTCTGCATGATTGCATCTATGTGGCACAATACACTTTCTGATATTGCATCGTTGTTACAATACTTTACACACCCAATACAATTCAAACATGTGGCCCACAATAACATAGGGCAATAGCTGTTTTCATTTTTATTAAAGTGTTATTTGCAACCCTGTTACTCTAATTATAATATTACATTACATTACTTGTTACTTGTTGGACGCTTTTATCCAAAGCGACTTACATACTCAATACTGTGGGCAATCCCCACCGGAGCAATTTGGGGTGAAGTGTGTTGCCCAGGGACACAACGACATGCTGACTGCAGTGGGGTTTGAACCTCTGATCCCCTGATCCCAACACCTACGGACAACCCACTGCACCACACGCCCAATATATAATAATAACAGGGTTGATTCTTCATTGAAAAATATATATAAAATATTATCAAACAACATTTCTGTGGTCCTGAGTATTTATTTGTCACATTTATGTCATGATCGACAATCAAAAGTAATGTAGCCATTCAACCCTGTTACTTTACGCAACCCTGTTACTCTAATTTCAACCCTGTTACTATATCATTTTCTACTAAAATAATCAAATTAAACCAGTTATCCAAAAACGACATGAGTATTTAATGTAAATGTGACTTTCTTTACTTAATAGTAAATCATTTTATTGAAGAATATTTTTGAAAATACTTTTTTCTGCTTAATGAGTATTTGTAACAGGGTTGCATAAAGTATGGCACACAACAAATACAACATCTAATACAAAGATTACATTTGATGCCTAAACTGGGCAAATCACTTTTTTTAATGGTTTATTATCTGTTTTTCCTAAATACATAACAACAAATTATAAAATAAAAGGTTAATTTTTTAAAAATGTGGATGTCTAAATTGTCTATAATTACTACGTTTTGTGTACTGTTGTGTTTCAGAATTCCTCTGCAAAGCAAGGAGTCGGACCAGGCAGTACAGTTATAATAAAGCTGATTTATTTCAGTTGTGATAAGGAATATAATTGCTCAGCTGAGGTCTCTGGAGATCAGTGATCCACAGACCGCGAGCAGTTTCCACTCCAAGCAGTAAACTGTCTCACACTTCCTTCCAGAGCCCCGGAAACCGGCAAAAGACATTTCATATACTTATTACAGATAGAAGGTGTCATATTCTGATTGGATATGTATATTTCTGAGTGAGGTGCCGTAGATTTCTGAATGGAGTACAGGCGAGCCCACGCCTCTTGGCTTCGTCCAGGTCCGACAGGTCCAGTCTTCTTCCCAAGCTCATCCAGGCCCTACACTATACTGACTGTCTGTTTCTCCTGTCACGTGCTAAGCTCTGAACTGCTCATGCCTGGCACGGTGCCCTCTCCTGAACCTCAGTGAATAACTGTGCACAATCTAATAAAAGTAGCAGAAATGCAGTTCCTTCCTTATGTTTTGCTCACCATTAACACTGTCATGAAGCTCACTTCTCTTCATAGTTTAAGACCTTCTGGTAGCACATTATTCATAAACATTTATTTATGAGCAAGCAATAATATTCTTCAGTTCCTACGTGAAAGTAGATGTACCAGAGTGTGGGAATACTCTGTTACAAGTACAATTTCTGCATTCAAAATGATACTCAAGTAAAAGTACAAAATGACTAGCTTTAAAATATACTTAAAAGTGTTGGGGAATATTTTGCTTCGGTGTTTAACCTTTGACACAGTTCATCATTCTCTCCTTCCTCTGTCTCCTTTCCCATGGCATAGGTCTTCGGCCTTGGGGAGTGCTATCTCCTTTAGGGAGGAACTGCTCTGGCTTTTTCTTTGTTGCCAGTTCAGGACCGAGCACAAGCTGACCTGAGATAATTTACCGCAACTTCAAATAAACCATCAGTTTCTGCCATCAAGCTCCAGCTCTCCCCCTGTCTTACTGAGATTTGTCTCCATTGCTTCAGAAGTTTCCATTACAAAAAGTACCAAAAGTAAAAGCACTCATTATGCAGATTGGCCCATTTCAGAATAATATATATTGAATATGTTTTATTAGAATTGTTAGGAAAAATATCACTCGACACCGGCTTGAGAATCAATGATCAGGTCCAAATGTATTCTTGCGAGAAGGAGCATAGTTCAATTACATACAGAGAGATGGTTCAACTCACACACACAAGGTTTGCTGATCAAAGCAGCAGAAAGACAGTTACACTTATATAGTCTTCACCAGGGACGTGCACAGGTACGGGCTATTGTTGCCCGGGCAACGGCCCGTTTCCCCTTTTTGGCTGACCTGCCCCTCTGGAGAAAGCGAGAGGTTTTTTTTTCTTTCTGTTGTGGTCGAATCAACATGATAAGCCCACAATTAGTATTGTAGTGTCTCGCTGTGGGAAACACACCAGCTTCATTTTTCTTCTTCTTCTTCTTCTTTCGGCTTATTAGGAGGAGGAGGAGGAGGAGGGAGGAGGAGAGGAGGAGGAGGAGGAGGAGGAGAGTGAGCGAGGAGGAGGAGGCTGAGGTATGTGTATGGAGGCGAGGAGGAGTGGAGCGGAGCTGAGGGAGAGCTGAGGATTCTGGACTATCTTATTCTTCTTCTTCTTCTCTCTTATGATTCTTCTTATTGATCTCTTATTGCTTCTTCTGCGTTTCTTAGTCTTCTCTTCTGCTTCTTCTTCTTCTTCTTCGTCTTCTGCTTCTTCTTTCTGTCTTCTTCTTCTTCTTCTTCTTCCTCCCTTATTCTGTCTATGCTAATTGCCCGCATGGGTAAACTCCCTCGACGAGGCTGCTCGCTTTCTTTTCTTGATCGCCCCTCTCCCTCTCCACTGGAGAACACTTCACTGTCCGCTTCATTGTAGGATTTTCTGCTATGTCTCTTACTTTTAATTTGACCATCTCTGTTATTAAGTTATGGCAATACTAATACATAAAGTTAATTAGATACCTTACAAATTACTGTGCTCATAAAGAATGATAAGAATAAGAATAATGCATATTGAACTGGTTTCATTAATTAGTGAGTTTATTTAAGGTAATTATAGAAGCCCTATTTTATCAGTATGTCTGCAATGGTCAAACTACATTGAATTGTCCCCATTTTTTCTTTAGTAGTTTCTAACATTAGATATTTTAATGAGATATGGACCGCAAAACTAAAAATGTCCCTGGTTTTCATTTTAAAAATCAAGTCACCGAATGCAAGTAGTTGCCTTAGCTTATTTTGTTGTGAGATGATGATGTGAATTACTGTTCAAATTAGTTAATGGTCGTTTTGGTCTTATATTTTTTTTCGGGGGGGAGGCCCTTTTTCCAGTTTAGAGCAATAGCCCCTCTAAATGTCTGTTCACGTCCCTGGTCTTCACGGCATTTAGCACCATAGTCGCAAATCAGGTTGGCAACAGATGGGAAAAGACTGTATTCTGACCTGCTCGTGTATAGGTTCTCTTTACGGTAGTTGAATGTTGCTCTTCGCCCTCAAAGAGCCACTCTAAGGGAATGCAGGAGAGAACAGTCTTTCTTTTCCGTGGATAAACAAATTAATCAAGTCTTGGTGCCTCCTGTTACAGGAGGCCTCTGCAAGGTCATGCACAGTTCCAACAGTATAAGATAACAGTAGCAAACATTGTTCCCCAACAATAATTATTGATGCATTAAAGTGTTCTCAAAGCTGGTAAAGGAGCAGCTAGTTTGAATGACTTTGTATTCTGCAGGGTAGCTTGTGAATTTTACTCCAGGTGGAACTAAAGTCTGATTTAAGGGTTGATTATATTTCACATCATTAATCCAAATATGTATAGTAAATAAAGATATTAAATAAATGTAATGGAGTAAAAGTACACCATTTACCTCTGAATTGCACTGGAGTAGAAGTGCAAAGTAGCATAACATGGAAATACTCAAGTAAAGTAAAGTTCTGATTCTAAAATACAAGTATCTCAAAATTGTTCTTATTGCTTGAGTAAATCTACTTAGTTACTTAACACCACTGAGTGTATATCTCTAACAATGATGTTGTTGGTGGATATAATGCCACTGAATATAGTGGTTTACAAGTTTATTACTACAGGTAGAGAAGAAAATGAATATAATGATATATGATGTTTGAAAAACAAAGCCAGCCATGCCTTCAAGGAGTAGACATTTCTCCCTGAATGATGGCTAGAAATGAGTTGAATAAATTGTATAGAAGAGTCAAATTAAAGTTTAATGGTAATTTAAACATTATGCTTCGATTTAAAGGAAATACAAAAACAAACACTTTGAGCATGACACATCAATAACATCAAAAAATACGAGTATTATTTAACATGGTGTCACAAGCATTATGTCAGAAATCACACGTTTTCTTTTGTTATGCCGATCTGTACAACCACCTGTGGGTAGATGATGAGAACACAAAACAACAAATGTTAACTTTAGTATTTAATATTTTAATGTTGTTCTGTAGATTAAATCCAGTCGGTGACATCCTCGATGTCATCATTGTCGGGATCCCAATAATTGAACAGCTCTTCCAGCTGTTTGGCCTTCTCCACTGCATTATGGGCATTGTATTTCCCTCCCAGGAAGTAGCGGACCAGATACGGCCGATTAAAAGTTTTCAGTTTAGGATAGAGATTCTTGCTCAGCTGTAAGGTATCCACAAACCCAGACACCACCTGTTTGAACTGCTCAAAGAGGGAGAACTTCTCCAGCACTCTCATGAGCACCCTTCCATGAAATCTCCTTGAGTTGTGGGCCGCCAGCAGCACGGGGCCGGGGAAGCGGCCAAGGTAGTCAATGAAAGTTGTTAAAGAATAGTAAAGTGTCATAGTGCTCACAGGCACATCGTGGAGGAACAGTTGGCCATAACTGACGGTGAGGCCGTTCACTTCTGTAGCTCTCTCTTCGATGGGGATGCAGGGGAGGATGTAGCGGTTGAAGATGGTATTTTCACAGCTGGCCGCCAACTGGACGATGTAACAAGATGTCACGCCTGCATGCAAAAAAGGAATTTATTTAATACAAAATATAAAAAGATATAGTCAAAATGATATAGTGGTCATCTTTTGTTCATCAAACGGCTTAATGTTTCCCATTAGAACAAGCGGCTCAAAGCCAAAGGGACTTCAACTACATTCTTACAGAATACTTTGATATTCTGTAAAGGACAGACCAACTTAACGACCAAGTTGAGATACAATCTTTTCAACAACAAAGACTAGTTAAGGACCCTCATAAACCCCCGAGACACAGATAAGAAGCAGACCCTAGTACCTCATTCACACCAACGCAACTCCGGTTCAAGCTCCGTGCTAGAGCTTTTCAGGTTCAGAACCGGTTCTTCGGTTTAGCTCTGGCTCTTTTCACACCGACTAGAGTCCGACTGGTGCTGAGTTATTGCGTCATCGTTTGCGTCATGACGTAACCGTTTGCGTGCCTGCTTCATAAAGCCAAACCGTGCGGATGAAATCAGTTGCATTAATTTCTTATGGCTCTATCTGCAGCTTTTCCGGAGTCATTTCTATGGTTTAGTATATTCTTATAAAAAAGTGTACTTGTGTCAATAAAGGTTTTTTTAAAACACAACTGCTTCCAAGGTCGGTCTTATTTCTTAAGGTGGACTGAACCATGAGTGTGGAGTAACGTTGTATCTTTCATTTAAATGAACTGTAACCTTCACCCAGGTATGTAACAGCTGTTCTCAAATGAACAAGTGAAGTAAAGTTTAATATTTATAGTTTTATAGATTTATAATGAGAGGTGATCAACGTGAATGCTCAGGTTCCACCTTAACACGCAGACACGTTGCTTCACCATGAGCAGAAACCTTTATATATAGTCTATGGCAGAAACACTGAAACTCTGAAACTCTTGTTAAGTTTCTCCATCGTTGTGTACAAACTGGATAAAACGCGGGCTTCTTGTTGTTGTTCAGGAGTTGATCTGCCCCTGCCCCCGCCTCGACGTAAGCGTGACGTATGTGGTGCTTTTGCTCTGGCCGGACAATTTTTTGGTGCTTGAAACGAACCGGATTCTGGAGCTAAGAGGCTGCTACGCTGCGGTGTGAAGAGGAAAACCCGGTGCTTTTCAAGCTCCAGCTCCGAACCGGCCCTGAAACACCGTTGGTGTGAATGATGTATAATGCCCCTTTCACACCAACACGTTTTCAGCTCCGGCTCGAAGCTGGAGCCTGAAAAGTGCGGGTTTTTCCTGTTCACACCGCAGCGGCGCCTCCTCTTAGCTCCGGAATCCGGTTCACTTCCAGCTCCAAAAAATTGTCGGTCTAGAGGCAAGAGCTTCGGAGCTAAGAGGTGGCGTCGCTTACGTCTCTCTTACGTCGAGGCGTGCAGGAAACTAAACCCACCGCCCCTGAACATGGGTCGACTGTCATGCCTGCCTACAAGCAGTAGTGCTTATAAACACACTTTATAAAGTCAGGCAACACTAACCAGGCTTCGTGTGATTCTGTTTATTTGTACCTTACTTTGACCATCCGTTCACTGTTATTGATCATTGTGGAGAGAGGCAGACGTTTTGTTTTGTATTATAGCAGCTATCGGATGGAAACAATACATGGGCTGCACAGGTTGTCATGTCCGACTATCACAAGTAGAATCATAATACAAATACGCCGGTAAAATGTGCTTGTAGAAAACGGTTTATGCCACAATAGGATAGCAATAGCAAGTAGTCAGTTTAGCTTCGGTTGCTATGCTAACATCACCCATTTTATACCAGAGAAACTTTCATAACAGCGTTGTGATACCAAACAGCGTCAATTCAGACTGAGACACATTCACTTAAGGGGAACTGGGGATATTTATCAGCTGCTTGTGTGAGTCGGACAGTGAATACTTTAGAGCAGTGTGAGCTAACCGGGAGCTAACGGGGGAGAATAAACTCCCGTGGAAGAGCAGCCAACACTGCAGCGGTCGGTAAATGCAGCAGAAACACATTAATAAACAATGAACCACGGCACTCTGGAGAAAAGTATAAGGTTGGAGAAGTCGTTATTCAATTTAATCTGGCTTCGTGTGATTAAAAGCAACACGATCATCGACCCGATGCAGTTCCCCGTTGTTGTTGTTGTTGTTGTTGTTGTTGTTGTTGTTGTTGTTGTGAGCGCCGTAACGCCGCTGGGGAGCAAATCAGCGATGTAAACAGTGACGTCATGACGCAGCAGCGGCAGCACCAGTCGGGCTCTGGGCGGTGTGAACAGAGCGGGAGCAGAAAAGGGAAACCGGAGCTGAACCAGAAAAGCTCTAGCTCGGAGCTAGAAAGGGAAAAGCGCTGGTGTGAAAGCCGCATAAGAGAGAGTTTAAAACAATACAGGATGGGGGCTGCTAGAGGTGTATCCCCCCCTCCCTCCTAATCTGTGCTCCTTTTCCCCTCAGTCAGAAACGGGTTTGTTGCCAGGTAGGATGGATCACCACACATACGAGGAATTTGACTTGATGTCATACATAAAATATAAAACAAAAAATCTTTAAAAAGTACACAGATAGCGAACACTGTAAAAAAAAAGATCTCCATAAAATAATTAAAAGCAATCAAGAAAAATAAAAAAGACAATTCAAGCCATTTCTACATGCCATCTACACAACTAATTGCAGTTAATTATGAACTTTTGAGCTCAATCAAATAATAAAAATAAAAATACATATTGTTAGCAAAGTGATCAATGGCATACTGTTGCCCCTCAGGCAACAATCTACCTTTTTGGTCCTCACACGACTCTTTAATTTTGTTCGTAAATACATTATTTAGAATATTATAATACCAGACATGTCTGTGTTCACTTAAATGAGGGGTTGGTGTGTGTATGTGTGTGTTTCTGTTTCACACACACACACACACACACACACACACTCCAGGGACCCCAAAGCTCCCCAAAAAAACGTGAAATATTTTCTCCTAATAAGCAACTATAGTAAGTATTAATAAACAGACATCAAGTAATTGTTATTTACCTAATCCTGTGGTCTCAAGTTTAAAGAAAACGATGGTACCCTGCCGAGCCATCTGCAGGTATTAAAAGAAAAAGACATTTGAACATACATAATTCACTTATGCTTTGGACAAAGAATTAAAAGGTAGTACTCAAAAAGTTTGTAGCATTCAATATGTATGCTAGCTAATTCAAAGTAGAAAAGTTAGGCGACTGATAAAGACGCAAATGTATAAAAGAAAGAGAAAAGTTGTCAGAACTCACCGTGGACTCTGAAATAATCCTGTCACTGCCACAAAACCTCCACAAACTGAACTGAACTAGGAATAAATGCTTTGTTGTTATTTTGTCAGTGTCCTCGTGTACTGACTGACCCGCCTGTCTTGTCTTGTCCGCCGCAGCTGCAAAACTAAGCGAGTTTCCCGTGAATGTGGAAAGTTCCCCGCAGTCCGTTTAGTTTCAGTTTCAATACAGGTCTACGGTTTTGACCCGACTTGGCCCAGAGTTCAGGCTGCTGTCGTCACTGTTTTGTGGAAAACAAATTAAACTAATGTTGGTTTTAAACTAAATAATCATAATGTTGAACTGTCCTGCTCTGCTCTGTGAGGGATACTGGAGACTACCCTCTGAACATGGGGGGTGTTACAGATCTCCTGATTAAGTGGTCGTGACACCTACAAATCCTGCCTCCATGAAATGTACCATTGTTAACTACATGTATGATTGGCTTTAGTTTGTTTGGATGGAAGTAAGTGTTTCTAAGACATGTATTACCAGATATCCGAAACCAGACATAGATCATGCTGAACTTTTGAACAATACTCACGCTTTACGTCTCGTTTTTAAAAGTTTGCATGCAACATGTCACAATAGGAGGCCCTGTGGTTTTGACACCTTGAGGAATGTTAACAAATGAATCAAGTCTTGGTCCCTCTTTGCAGCCATCTGCAAGGGCATGCACAGTTCCAACAGTATAAGATAACAGTAGCAAACAGTATTTCCCCCCAACAATAATTATTGATGCATTAAAATGTTCTCAAAGCTGGTAAAGGAGCAGCTAGTTTGAATGACTTTGTATTCTGCAGGGTAGCTTGTGATTTTACTCCAGGTGGAACTAAAGTCTGATTTAAGGGTTGATTATATTTCACATCATTAATCCAAATCTGTAAAGTAACTAAAGATATTCAATAAATGTAGTGGAGTAAAAGTACACCATTTACCTCTGAATTGTACTGGAGTAGAAGTGCAAAGTAGCATAACATGGAAATACTCAAGTAAAGTAAAGTTCTGATTCTAAAATACAAGTATCTCAAAATTGTTCTTATTGCTTGAGTAAATCTACTTTGTTACTTAACACCACTGAGTGTATATCTCTAACAATGATGTTGTTGGTGGATATAATGCCACTGAATATATTTGTTTACAAGTTCATTACTACAGGTAGAGAAGATAATGAATATAATGATATATGATGTTTGAAAAACAAAGCCAGCCATGCCTTCAAGGAGTAGACATTTCTCCCTGAATGATGGCTAGAAATGAGTTGAAGAAATTGTATAGAAGAGTCAAATGAAAGTTTAATGGTACTTTAAACATTATGCTTCAATTTAAAGGAAATACAAAAACAAACACTTTGAGCATGACACAGAACATCAAAAAGTATGAGCATTATTTAACATGGAGTTTGAGGTGTCACAAGCATTATGTCAGAAATCACACGTTTGTTGTTATGTCGATCTGTACAACCACCTGTGGGTACATGATGAGAACACAAAACAACACATATTCACTTTAGTATTGTAATGTTGTTCTGTAGCTTATTTTAAAGCGTAGATCCAGTCGGTGAACTCACTGATGTCCTCATTGTAGGGTTCCCAATAATTCCAAAACAGCTCTTCCAGCTGCTTGGAATTCTCCACTGCATTATGGGCATTGTATTCCCCTTCCAGGAAGCAGCGGACCAGATACGGCTGATTAAACCATTTCAGTTGAGGATAGAGCTTCCTGCTCAGCGGTAAGGTATCCACAAACCCAGACACCACCTGTTCGAACTGCTCAAAGAGAGAGAACTTCCTCAGCACTCTCATGAGCACAATTTGATCAAATCCCCATGCGTAGTGGGCCGCCAGCAGCACGGGGCAGAAGAAGCTGCCAAGGTATTCAATGAAATATTTTAAAGAATGGTAAAGTGACACAGTTCTCACAGGCTCTCCGTGGAGGAACAGTTGGCCATAACTGACGGTGAGGCCGTTCACCTCTGTAGCTTCGTATTCAATGGGGATGCCGGGGAGGATGTAGCGGTTGAAGTTGGTATCTTCACAGCTGGCCCCCAACTGGACGATGTGACACGATTTAGTGTCTGCATGCAAAGAAGGAATTCATGTTATACAACATATAAAAAGATACAGTCAAAATTATATTGTGGTCATCTTTTGTTCATCAAAAAAATACTTTGATATTCTGTAAAAGACAGACTAGCTACTTAACGACCAAGTTGAGATATCTTTTCAACAACAAAGTAGTTAACGACCCTCACAAACCCCTGAGACACAGATAAGAAGCAGACCCTATAGAGAGTTTTAATACAGGATGGGGGCTGCAGGAGGTGTTACATCCCCCCCCCCCTCCCTCCTAATCTGTGCTCCTTTCTCCCTTTCTACTTCTGAAGATTTCCTTAAAACAATTAAACGCCAACAAGAAAAAAAAGCAAGACAATTTAAGCCATTTTGACATTCCATCTACATAACTAATTGCAGTGGACTAATTATGAACCTTTGAGCTCAATGAAATAATACATATATCAATAAATATTGTTAACAAAGTGATCAATAGGTGCTTTCACACCGCAGTACTTTTCCCACTTTAGTTCCGATATAGTTCCGAAATGTTGCGTTCACATAAAAAAAAACCGGAACTAAAATGACTTAATGAGAACCTCTTTACCCCCTTTTCCGTCCCTGCTAGAGAGCAGGTACTTTCGTGGGAGAAAAAAATTCCTATTTATTTCTGATTGGCTGGGCGGATTGCAAACCACGCCCCGTAAAACTCCCAAAAGGTTTTGTGAAGCCGCCATTTTATTATGCCTTCATTAGCATTATTAGCATTAGCATTAGCCCAGCGCAGAAACGCAGAGAGACTAACTTATGGCAACACAAAAGAAAACATGGGAGCGGTGGAGATGAGGAGGTGTCGGCGTTCTGGCGATTTACTCGGAAGGCTTCAGTAGAAGCTGCTGGGACTCCCAGCAGCTTCTACTGAAGCCAGTCCCCAACTCCGGGGACTTCGGGTGGCAGTACACGCCGTGAAGTTATTTGCGGCCTGCCAGTAAACCCAAAGCAGAAGAAGAAGTGACTTCAGCGGCTTCATTTGCCCGATCTGTACTTAGTTCATGAGAACTAAAGAGTTCTGATGAACCTTTGTGGGAAAAGTACTATGGTGTGAAAGCGCCTATTGGCATACTGTTGCCCCTCAGGCAACAAACTACCTTTTTGATCCTCACACAGACTCTTTAATTTTTTTTAAAAATACATTATTTAGAATACCAGACATGTTTGTGTTCACTTAAATTAGGGGTTGGAGGCGGTCATTTCAAGAAGCAAAACCACTGAGTCCTTGGAACATAAAGCCACTGTCTCGCTTCACAAATATCACTTTTCCACAAGTTTTAAATGTATCTGACCTTATATAAAAAATATATGTATGTGCTTGGATATGTAAAGAAGTATGTTTGATTGTTACATATGTATTACTTATATATAATCATTTATATACTAAAACTGTTTTTTGTTCGTTGTTTTGGGTCACCATTCTCTCTGACACAGAGGACAGTGAGCTTCAGAGTCAGGAAGAGTCAAGTAACTCCAGGGACCCCAAAGCTCCCCACAAATACGTGAAATAATTTCTCCTAATAAGCAACTATATTAAGTATTTACAAACAGACATCAAATAATTGTTATTTACCCAATCCTGTGGTCTGAAGGTCAAAGAAAACGATGGTACCCTGCCAAGCCATCTTCACAAATTAAAAGAAAAGGACATTTGAGCATACATTCACATATGAATTGGACAAAGTATTAAAAGATAGTAGTCAAAACGCGTATAGCTTTCAAGATGTATGCTAGCTAATTCAAAGTAGTAAAGTTAGGCGACTGATAAAGTCGTAAATATTTTTTTTAAAAGAGAAAAGATGCCAGAACTCACCGTGGACGCTGAAATAATCCTGTCACTGCCACAAAACCTCCACAAACTTAAATCAACTAGGAATATAAATGCTTTGTTGTTATTTTGTCAGTGTCCTCGTGTAGGCTACTGACTGACCCGCCTGTCTTGTCTTGTCCACCGCAGCTGCAAAACTAAGCGAGTTTGCCGTGAATGTGGAAAGTACCCCGCAGTCCGTTTAGTTTCAGTTTCAATACAGGTCTAGTGTTTTGACCCGACTTGTCCCAGAGTTCAGGCTGCTGCTGTGGAAAACATAATGTTGAACTGTCCTGCTCTGCTCCCAGACCGTAAGTGAGGGATACTGGGGACTACCCTCTGAAATGGGGGGTGTTGACTGATCTGCTGATTAAGTGGTCGTGACACCTACAAATCCTGCCTCCATGAAATGTACCATTGTTAACTACATTTATGATTGGCTTTAATTTGTTTGGATGGAAGTAAGTGTTTCTAAGAAATGTATTACCAGATATCCGAAACCAGACATACATAATGCTGAACTTTTGAACAATACTCACGCTTTACGTCTCGGTTTTAAAAAGTTTGCATGCAACATGTCACAATAGGAAGCCCTGTGGTTTTGACACCTTGAGGAATGTTAACAAATGAATCAAGTCTTGGTCCCTCTTTGCAGCCATCTGCAAGGGCATGCACAGTTCCAACAGTATAAGATAACAGTAGCAAACAGTATTTCCCCCCAACAATAATTATTGATGCATTAAAATGTTCTCAAAGCTGGTAAAGGAGCAGCTAGTTTGAATGACTTTGTATTCTGCAGGGTAGCTTGTGATTTTACTCCAGGTGGAACTAAAGTCTGATTTAAGGGTTGATTATATTTCACATCATTAATCCAAATCTGTAAAGTAACTAAAGGTACTAAATAAATGTAGTGGAGTAAAAGTACACCATTTACCTCTGAATTGTAGTGGAGTAGAAGTGCAAAGTAGCATAACATGGAAATACTCAAGTAAAGTTCTGATTCTAAAATACAAGTATCTCAAAATTGTTCTTATTACTTGAGTACATCTACTTAGTTACTTAACACCACTGAGTGTATATCTCTAACAATGATGTTGTTGGTGGATATAATGCCACTGCATATAGTTGTTTACAAGTTCATTACTACAGGTAGAGAAGATAATGAATATAATCAGGGGTGCACATAACTTTTTTGCCCTGGTTCTCAAAGGAGCACCTGGAGATGTTGCTTGGTGCTCATCCTTAAAATGAAATAAACCGTAACTTTTGAGGGGGTCTTGACTTTATTTGCCAGACACACGGCACTGAACACACATGCAGAGGTGAACACAGAACACACATGCAGAGGTGAACACAAGACAACATTAGCACGACCAGTAATCCTACAAGCTGTCATCACTACCCTCCTGACTGTTCTCCTCACTGTCTTCCTCTCTGTCAGACATGGTAGCTGATGATGTAGGCCTACTACTTTCTCTCTGGTTCAGTCTGCGATTAGATGCTTGCACCCACAAGTCAACAGCTGGTTTTGGGTCGAAAGTCTCTGTTGTCATCTTAGACAAGTGAATGTAATCAAATAAGTATGTGAACATAACCAATAGCCTACCATAGCCAATAACAAATTAATGTAACTTATTTTATTTGTGTTGTTCATTCATATCTTATTTTACCTTAACATTTATTTATTTATGCATTTTTTTTGTATCTCTCCAGTTTTAAAGGATATTTTTGGTTACTGTCCTATAGTATACATTGGAATGATTTAAAACCTGTTTATCCCAATAATTATAAAGGAGTGCCTTGGAAATATGTGTTTACATAAATTGTGACCAAACCGTTTGAACTTAGACTAAGAGTCCTTTACCTCACTGAGCTGTAGTTAACTTATCAGCCTCTCAGTCTGACTGGAGAGGACTCTCCCTCCACATTATTGTAGAAACATCTTCTTCTTATCTCCGTTAGAGCAGCTAGCACGGCACCAGATTCTAATAACAACAGCGCTGGTACCACCCTCCCTCTCTCCCTCGCTCACTCGCATTTTGTCTGTGAGCTGCGGGCGCCAGATAAGCCAACATCCCCCATTTTCATCAGCGCCCATCGTGGCAAATGAAAGGTGGAACCGGGGTGAAAAGGGTGTTACATTTACTTAATTGTGAATATTGTTACATCAAGGCCGAAAATTAGGATGAGCCCCAACGGTCAAAATGTTTTTTTCCCTCCCAGAACTGCCAGCGCAGCACCTCCCCAGATCTGGCGCCCTAGGCGAACATCTAGCCAGCGCTACGGGCCGGCCCTGAGTTCATATCATGGTTCATATGCAACTCGCATATATCTTTCTCTCTCTCTCTTCTCTCTTCTCTCTCTCTCATCTCTCCTCTCTCCTCTATTTTCTCTTTTCTCTTCTCTCTCTCCCTCTCAATGTTGGTACGCAAATGCGCTTTGTTTCAAATGACCCGGTGCTCTTTTTTTGGCGGAGGTGCGCATGCGCACCTGCGCACCAGTTATGTGCAGCCCTGAATATAATGATATATATGTTTGAAAAACAAAGCATGCCATGCAGTGGCGGCGCTAGGGGATGGCTACTTGTGCTCAAGCCCCGGATATTTTCTGAAAAGCCCCGGATGTTTCACTTAAAAAATTAAAAAATAAATGTAATTTTTTTAAATTATTTTTATAACGTCTCGGGAGTAATGTGCAGTACCGGAGTCCACCAGAGAGGCAGCCACTGTGGGACATTAGCCTGCGTACTGCGTAGCCTGCCCTGAAGAAGAAGTGATCCTTCCTAGTGCCTGACGAGTTTTAAGCTAATAGCCTATAAAGTTATGGATATTAGAAAGTTATTGTCATCGAAGCAGCCGGCGCCACAAGCTGCAGCAGCAGCAGTATCAGCAGCTGACAACAATGTCATCACCAGCAGTCAAGAAATGGAAGATGTTTCAGGTTTGTTAATCTAATGGTGATATCTGCACTCTGGCTGACTGAGTAAGAATTGAAAAAGAGTGATGTAACGTTAATGTTATAGCTAGTAAACATGGAGTAACCACACTAAGTATACCCTTATATGTTAGTATGTATACAGAACATGACTACAAATTATCCTAAGATGTAACGTTAACCCTTCATAACTCAGTCTACTTTTAAGACACAAAAATAACGTATTCCAATTTTTATTTTGTTTTCACACGTGGAATTATACCGGCTCTCGTTTCAGTACACATAACAACAGAACTGACAGGCAACCCTCTGAATCAGACTCCGATTGGCTGTGACTGCATCCACTCAGAGTGTCCGATTCAGAAACGTGACTCTTACACTCTTTACGTCACAAACAAAGATGGTGGATGAGAATAGATCTATAAAACGATAAGCAATGCGCCAGAATCAAGGTGAGACTATCCTTTAAAACTCTACGCACATTCGTTACACCTTAATAAGTAAACGACTATTTGAGTGAGTTAAGGCATTAGTTTGCTTCATTAAAGGGTGTTAATGAGTGTTCTCCAGTGCCTTTTGTCCGCTTTAAGGTGTTATGAAGGTAGGGTTAATGTTGCTCTCAAAGTGCACCAGATTGATGCTTTCAACTTCAATATTTAAAAAAAAATCTTCCCGGGGGAGCATGCCCCCGGACTCCCCGAGAGGAGGCGACGACCCCCCTAAAGGATGTTCGGTCCACCCCCCACTTATAAAAAATAGCACTGTACCCCTGCACCCCCCACACACACCCCCCACACACACCCCCCAACCCAACGACTCCTGGGCTAAGCCCCGGATCTCCTACAATCCTAAATCCGCCTCTGATGCCATGCCTTCAAGGAGTAGACATTTCTCCCTGAATGATGGCTAGAAATGAGTTGAAGAAATTGTATAGAAGAGTCAAATTAAAGTTTAATGGTAATTTAAACATTATGCTTCGATTTAAAGGAAATACAAAAACAAACACTTTGAGCATGACACAGAACATCAAAAAGTATGAGCATTATTTAACATGGAGTTTGAGGTGTCACAAGCATTATGTCAGAAATCACACGTTTGTTGTTATGTCGATCTGTACAACCACCTGTGGGTACATGATGAGAACACAAAACAACACATATTCACTTTAGTATTTTAATGTTGTTCTGTAGTTTTTTTTAAAGCTTGAGATCCTGCTGGTGAACTCCCTGATGTCATCATTGTATATATTTTAATGTTGTTCTGTAGATTAAATCCAGTCGGTGACATCCTCGATGTCATCATTGTCGGGATCCCAATGATTGAACAGCTCTTCCAGCTGTTCGGCCTTCTCCACTGCATTATGGGCATTGTATTTCCCTCCCAGGAAGTAGCGGACCAGATCCGGCCGATTCAAAGGTTTCAGTTTAGGATGGAGATTCTTGATCAGCGGTAAGGTATCCACAAACCCAGACACCACCTGTTTGAACTGCTCAAAGAGGGAACACTTCTCCAGCACTCTCATGAGCACCCTTCTATGAAATCTCCTTGAGTTGTGGGCCGCCAGCAGCACGGGGCCGGGGAAGCTGCCAAGGTAGTCGATGAAAGTTGTTAAAGAATAGTAAAGTGTCATAGTGCTCACAGGCTCTCCGTTGAGTAACAGTTGGCCATGACGGACGGTGAAGCCGTTCACTTTTGTAGCTACGCGTTCGAATGGGATGCGGGGGAGGATGTAGCGGTTGAAGATGGTATTTTCACAGCTGGCCGCCAACTGGACGATATGACACGATTTAGTGCCTGCATGCAAAGAAGGAATTAATGTAATACAAAATATAAAAAGATATAGTCAAAATGATATAGTGGTCATCTTTTGTTCATCAAACGGCTTAATGTTTCCCACTAGAACAAGCGGCTCAAAGCCAAAGGGACTTCAACTACATTCTTCCAGAATACTTTGATATTCTGTAAAGGACAGACCAACTTAACGACCAAGTTGAGATACAATCTTTTCAACAACAAAGACTAGTTAAGGACCCTCATAAACCCCCGATTCACAGATCAGAAGCAGACCCTAGGAGAGAGTTTTAAAACAATACAGGATGGGGGCTGCTGGGTGTGTTACATCCCCCCTCCCTCCTAATCTGTGCTCCTTTCTCCCTTTCCACTTCTGAAGGTCTCCTTAAAATAATTAAAATAATTTGGACATGCCATCCACACAACTAATTGCAGTAAACTAATTATGAACCTTTGAGCTCAATCAAATAATAAATATATCAATAAATATTGTTAACAAAGTGATCAATGGCATACTGTTGCCCCTCAGGCAACAAACTACCTTTTTGTTCCTCACACCGACTCTTTAATTTTG